GTTTCCTTGTTCTTCGCATATGTAGCACCACGCATAGGAAAGCATGTATTTAGAAGCAAGAATTTAAGAAGCTGTGAAAAATGCTCAATCTTAAAGACTGAGCATTTTTGATTGAGCATGTGAAAAAGATTGTTTTTGATTGAGCATGTGAAAAATGCTCAATCTTAAAAATTGAGCATTTTTCACAGCTTCTTAAATTCAAGCATCATTCATAAACATCACGGTATTATCACTGAGATAGAAACAATGTTATCTAAGATTTTATTAAACATTTTTTCTAAGTTTAGTCTCCGGCTCCAATTAAAAATAATTTGTATGTATCTATATGCAAAGTTATACCCCGACTTATGTGAATTCAACTTATGCGGTTATCGCTTGGTCCACCTATTGCGTAAGTTCGAGGTATTACGGTACTAATGAAGATGTAGTCACCAGAAAAATTGTTGTAGGATATTCTGTAGCAAATGAAAAGTGTTCTCATGTTTATGATGTCATGTATGATGTAATCTTTACAGCACCTTGCAAGTCTGCAGCAAAAGGATACTTTAATTTAAAAAATAAACACATTTTTTATAGGATTTTATGGATAATGCTACTGCTCTACAACTGCTACTGTACTATATATCTTATTATTATATTATATATCTGAAAACTTATATTTTCTAATTGATAAGATATTTAGCACCAAATATATATTCTATCAATGTATGCAAATACTTCTAATTTTTTTACAATACATTACAAAATAAAAGATGATATAAGATTCTAAAATTATTTTATTTGTCTGTAAATAAGTTCGAATAATGTTTCATCCTCTAAGCCAAATGACAGCATTATAATAGCCTGATTATTAACGACAACGATAAATAATTAGAAAGTTAGTAAATAATTTGATACTAATGGTAGATGTTAGGCACCATCTCTTATCTAAATTAATAATTACTGACTTTCTAATTATTAATTACAGCATTATAATAGCCCAATAATTAACAGTAATCATTTGGCTTAGTGTCAATATATCATGCTTTGTGATGTTGATATATATATATAGTTTCATCCTCTGTTGTTGATTTCAGCATCATTTCCTTCCTCTAAACGTAGTTCTGCAATTGCTGACAATCTTTTGTACTTATATTCAACTTTGAACATCCATATGAAGCTATATAACTCAATAATTAATCCCATTAAATACTATGCTAATCCAATTTAGGGTCTCGATTACCTGTACAAACTGAAATCTTTTCAAATTTATTTTCTTTGCAAACTTCTTCATTTAGAAAAATCTATCCCTGGCTATGCCATTTGTCATGAAACCAATCGTATGTACTCCTTTCCTTTTTTTTTCTTAAACAAATAATAAAATTTTAAAAGTGATAATAATTTAACTGTTTTACATCAGGAAATTATCAAAACAAAGTAAAAATATAAGATCAACCAGCTTTGGCAAACTAAGTTTCAAAAAATTTTAAACTCATTTGGTGTATCTGACAAGATATTCAAAGATAATCTGCAAGACTGGAAATATGGCTACACACTATTAATCGAATCTGCAATATCTCAGTCTATTAACAAGGACCAAACAAGTCTAAATAAGAGCAAATATCATCCCTGGTATATTAATCTACTTCATATTCCATATTCACAACCATACATGACTAAACTAATTAATTTCAATGTGAAAAGATTAATAGCACAAATATGTCTTAATAAATATTCTATTTACATAAATAATAGTTATATTAATTTTGTAAATACTCAATGCATTTGGTGTAACTCAGAAACTCTTCCTTTATCATCTGTTACAAGGCTTAGCAAGTTTATGTGATTCACTTAATATTAAACGAACAATTCAATGTGGTTTACTCCTTGAATTTAGAACAAATATAAATAATAATAATAATAAAGCTTTATATAAATTATATAATTACTTCATCAAGATCACAGAAATGCTAAAAAATCTAACTTAACGATTTCATTGTTTGTTGTTACTCTATAAATGTTATTTTTTCTATATTACTAACCTTGATGTTTTGATTGTTATTATCTGGCACTGTAATTAATGATATTAAGATTATTATTTATAATTCTGCAATTGCATTCAAATTAATTTTTATTTCAATAAATTTGATAAAAACAATAATGTTAATTATTTATACTAAATTTTAATTTACTTGAAGTAAGAAACAAAGTTTTATTAATGTACTAAGTAGCATTTTTGGTTTCTGATTAATCACTCTTGGTAATTCATAATTTTAAGAATATTTTTAAGAACAGTAGTAAGAAATTAATTTCATACTACTGTTAAAATAAAATTTTAACAATAAATACATACTACATAAAACTGGATTAACTAAATCCAACTCACAAACTATACCAGAAATATCTTGCACAAATTATACTTGCTAAAAGTAATGAAAAGCAAAACAAATTTCAATAATTTTTAAATTGAATATCACTTTAAAAAACACATGGAGTTTTTCATTATTTTTGGTAAGTATAATTTTTGTTGGATATTTTGGTGTAGTTACATGAGTTTGACTTAAAAATTACAACTGAAAATAAAAAATTTTCTTTATAAATTAATAAGATTTAATAGAAAAGTATATATAAAATCAAGCTGTCTAGGTAATTAGATAAATTTTTTATATATAATCAACCAATTCACAATTGACTTAAAATCAAATAATTAAGCATCATTGTCTTAGCTGTTAGAAATTAATTTATTTCTAATCTGAAAAAATCTGATTTTTAGTTACTTAAAGTTCTTTTTTGTTAATGAATAATATTTAGCGTTACAAAATTTTTTTTATCATTACTGTGCGAGTACAGGTAATCAAAAATTTATTGTTTCATAATGTTACACATAAATCACAATCTCAAACTCTGGTGATAAAGACCATGTTCAGCTAAATACCATTTATTTAGTTCTGAAACCATCCCATACTAAGCATATAATAGCAATATCAGATAACTCTGTTATAAATAGATGAAACAGTATCAATATTGACTCAGTGGCATAGCGTAGTGAGGGCGGCAGGGGCAGCCCGCCCCGGGAGGCACTTTTAGGGGGTGGCAAAATTTCACAATAAATAATAATAATAATAATAATATCTTGTAAAAATTTGAACCATTTCATTTCATATTTTTGTTTCACCTACGATTCAGACCGATTGAAATGAGCACAGAATTTTTCATTACTTATTCTGTGACGAAACTGAATTTTAGTCTTTTAAATTTAGATACCTAAATAAGAGGGCAGCAAAATTTTCCTCTGCCCTGGGTGGCTGACACCCATGCTACGCCACTGTATTGACTGAAATAAAAAATGAATAATATTGATAATCAATTATTAATTTTAAATGTTTAAGTGAAATCTTATAAAGCTACAAATTATTTTTTAAAACTAATAATATTCCCCTCCCTCCTCTCTCAAACTGAAATACAATAATAACAAAATTGCAACATTAAACAGCATAAAATTTAATAAAACAGTGGTCACTCATATCTATCTGCACATAATTTCCAAATGAATTTTCTTTAGTTTTGTTCTGTTCAATTTGATTGAAAAAAATCTATCTAATCTGGGTAAAATACTTTGTTTTATTAAATTTTATGCTCCTTTGCTATTTGGTTATTATTGTAATTATTATACAGTATTAATATGTAATGTACAGGAAATACATTAAAATATAATGATTATATACAATTGAGTTGATAAGATGATTAATATATAAAAATAATTTTATTGATTATCTATATATTAAAATTTATTATCATGCTTCTGGAACTGCATTATGTGATTTTTGATAAATAACCCAACAAATTACGTAAACAGGCACCGTACTGATGAGGAAAGATCAAGCTCTCGAAACACATTTATGGAAATAAAGATGAAAAATAAAATAATACATTATTTCCATGTAGATAGAGAGTGTAAAATTTATTACAATAGAACATATTGAAAACTTTCATTTAAACTTTCTGAAAGTTTTATTACACATTCTAAATATCAAATAATATGAAGACAATGGTCAAAATTAACATTATGAAAACTTTATATTTTTAAAAAGTTTTTTTTATCTAATCCAAACCAGCAAGAAATTCTTATCATTAGTAAGAATTTTCAATAAATTAAACAACTTCTCACTGAGTTACTGGAATAATAATCTACACTTGCAAACCTTTATAACACAATAACAAACTTTAATGAATACTAACATTTTCAACTGCATTTTCCACAAACATAGCTACAGTCAAAGACATAAGAAGTCTGATTTACAATAATGATAATTTCAACTGGATAAAAACTACTTAAACCATTAAAAAAGTCTTAGAATCCAATTGGTATTTTTGGTAAACAAATGTTTTTGTTTTGACTTGTATTTGACTGTCATCGACTAGTTCAAAACAATCTCAAACCAGTTTTTAATCATTTTAGATCAAAAACATCCACCGAAATGTAAGGTTTTTGTGTTCTAAACCTGATTTACAATAATCTGTCATCGTTCTTAGCGGGATGCCCAGACGAAAGACTAAAGAAACCGAGCAAAAATTTGAATAGATGAAATAACATCATTATCAAATATATTTTTGAATAATTTCAATATAATTTTCTATTTTACATATCAACGGACAATTAAAATGATTAATAATTTTAAAACATATCAATTTTTTAGTTTTAACACATGTATTTTTGGATTTTAAGAAGCATATAAACCAGAAAGCAATTTCAAAGCTTACAAGGCATGGTCTAGTCTATTATAATATCATATTATACCTAGAAAATTATATAATCATTTTCCAGGAATAATATAAAAATAAAACAATGCATTTAAAAAAAAATCAACAGAAATAAACTGATGACTCAGAGCTTACATTCATAAACAATAAATAACTAAGAAAACTTAAATAAAAATAAATAATAACTAATAAATTTCTATTTTATTCTCTCAAATTGTCTTTTATAATAAATAGAAAAATATACATGAGATTCAACTTACCCAGAGAGGGCTATCACAGAAACCGTACAAATCCGTCATGAGATCTTCCTAAAGCGATGCTTAATGATGACCGGGAAACGATTAAATGCCATCGTCTACAGCAAATATATATGTGTGAGAAAAATATAGACCGGTTGCTCATTCATTTTGAAACAGTAAAAAAAAAAAAAAAAAAGATAATAATTACAGTAATAACTAACTTGTTACGAAAGCAGCGTACGACGCGAGTAGTACATATTCCTTCGGAATAAAATTTCTTTGCGATAGCAGCAAACGAATCACGCCGTTCTTTACTCGCACGCCGATTAGTTCCCGCACGACTCACACACAAAGTCGCTTCTGTTTATCATCTGTAAGCCGACATTAGTGCATTGCGCGGTTATAACACAACGTTATGACATCTCTTGCCATAAAAACATCGAAGTTTATACAGTTAATTAAGTCTTTATTACTCGTTAATCATTAATTAATTGATATTTATAAATCATTTGAATATTATATATTTATANATAATGTTTCTTTATCGAAAAGGTTTATGTTAAAAATCACTTTATCATTAAAAATTATTTCATTTTTTCGTGTTTTTGTCAAACAAATAATAATCAAAACGTGAAATTAAATTAATTAATTTTAAACTCGATTATCCGGAAACATTTACTTTACGGAAAAAATAATTGATTCCGATATTTTCTGCTTTGTAGTTTTTGTTATATGAGAGAGAAGTAGAGGTTAAAATTAATACAATTTATTTCACACTTAACGACCTTCAACCTTATGAACGTACTTTAAACCAGTTTACAAAAATAAAAACATAATAATATATTTCTTACGATTGTATAAACTCTTAGAGTCAAACTAAAAATAATATTATAACTTATATTTTATTTTATTCGTATTATAGTGAACGTATTCAACATTAAATTTATAAATACAGTTATTAATCTTTTATTATTTTACATTTTTTAACTTATTTATTAATTTACACTGTTTGTTAATATTTGTTAGTACAATTTTTTAGAATTAATTTGATCAAAAATTTAATAAAATTGATATAGTGTGACTCATTAAACATTTCAAGCGCGAGAGATATGAAAAAGCTTGTTTACACAATTTTATATTCTACAATTAAGTGATTAAAAGTTCTTAAGAGCATTAATTTAACTAATATCTTGTTTATTGTTGATAATATGTTTAAATTTTTTACAACTGAATTAAATGTCGGTTCCCTTTTGAGAGTATAGAAATATCTCTGCAATAATATAAATAAACATTTTTTTAAAAAATAGCAAATAGATAAAATCTGAACGTAAATTTATAGATTTGCGTTCGGTCAACTTTAGATTATTCAAGCTCTTTTCGATTAAAAACAAATTTTTAATTGATTTTGTAATTTTACGTATAGAAGCTCCCCAATTTGCAACAAATCAATATACGCGAGGTGTATACTGTAATTAAAATATTCATAAATCAATGCGATATTTTTCAAATAATGCAAATTTCTTTCTTTTTGTTTTCTTTTCAATTTTTTTAAAAACGCGAACAATAGAGAAACTTACTGAAGTATGTCAGAACAATGGCTGAGTAATAGAAAGATGTTCCATTTTTTCTGAAAGAAAAGTAAATGATGAGTCATTTGAAAGTAACTGGTTCTATATATCTGTTGAAGCATGTAAGACAAGCGAGCTAGAACATACTATACACCCTATAGAGCAGGGGTGGCCAACCTTTTCAGAAGGTGGGACAAATTTCAGAAATGATATTTCCTGCCGGGCCACGCACTAATTTTTTATTTATTTTTTAATTAAAGTAAACAAGCAAGCGTGCTACAGCTTCAACCACATCGTCGCTTCCCAGTAGGTAGGATCGTGGTCAAACACTTGCGTGGTTAATGTAAAAAAACCCAAAAAATAGGTATATTTATTTTTTTGAAGAAAATAAAACATAACCGAGAATCAAACATAATAATTATTAGACAATTTAAAAATATTTAAAAGTGAGACATCTGACTTTGTTTTACAGAACTAAGTGCATCAAAATTGATCTCCACTAATGTTGTTGCGTTAGCAACAACATTAGTGGAGATGTTGTTGTTGTTGCTAACGCAAACAGTTTTCCAAATGAACATCAGTAATTCTATCTCACTTGTGATTTGATGTACTTTATGCGACTAAAAAGCTGTTCACACGCATAAGTGTTTCCACATAGCGAAACCATCGACACAGCATGTTTGTAAAACGCAGGATATTTATCCTTGCCCAAATACGTTTCATAGAACTCTTCCAAACCAACTTGATGAAATTTCTCCAACGTTTCAGGGATTACTTACTTATAGAATCGATATGGTAGAACTGTAATTATAAATATGTTAAATATGTATTTTAACGTCGATTGCAAAATCTCTCTAGATGCATTGGCGATAATAAAACGAAAACTACAGAATAACACGGAATTTTGTCAAGCTGGACTGAAAGTAGTTATGAGTATGAGCCCGATAGCATTGTGAGCTTCCTGAAAACGCCGAAGACCACAGAACATATATAGCTGAAGTTAAAGTCTCATATTAAATTTTATCAACACCTAGCGTCGGACAAAAAACTAACCTTGAGTGTCAAATAGCGGGATATTTGAAATAGCTGAAAATCTATGAATTTTTCCAAAAATGAGAGATATTTCAAATTTCTCTTAGCTATAATTTAAAAATACATGATACGAATAACTCATAACGTAATGTTCTTTTGGTGAGATGTACAATAAAGTTAACATTTACGTTCATTTGACCTAGCTCCGAGGGCCGCAACATGACTCCAGGCGGGCCGCATGCGGCCCGCGGGCCTCGTATTGGCCACCCCTGCTACAGTGTATCTTGCCTTGTATTAATTAACTAGTTGGGCATGAGCTTCTAGCGCAGGAATTTTTAACGGATGCCTCTCGCGCGGAGTTACGCGGAGGAATAAAAGAACGGACCCTGTATTGTCCCGTTGTAAAGTGTTACGTAATTGTCATGTAATGTAATTGTATGCATTTATGATGGTCGTTACGCGGGGAATAATGCCTTCCGGGAGGTATTTTAAGGGTACCTGGCTCCTATTCAGGCGTTACAGACATGGAGAAAACCCGGAAAATTCCACGTGGCCAGCCCGTCCTGGAGAGGCGAGAACCCACACCGAACTCCCAATGTTCAGGGAACGGAACCGCTTGGTCACTGGTAAACCTACGTAGAGTGACTGTAACCTTAGATACAGCGCTCTTGGTGGCAACGACAGATACTATCAACCGCCATTTTACTTTAAGTCAAAAAATCGAAGCCTGTACCACGTGCTGGGCAGGATTTTCACTTTAGAATTTATTTTTCTTATCTAAATCTAGATTGTTTTGTTTGTCCCTAGATTTGAGATTTAGACAATTAGATAAGTGAATAAATCTAGATTATTTTATCTCGAATTTAGCTATTTTCTAGATTTTATTTAATTATTATAAAAAAAAAATAATAAGATTAGCGTTTAAACTGGTAAATGCTGTACTTAGCCCTTCATATATAAATATTTTTATAATCTAAGTATGAGCCAAGTATTGAAGGGCTTTACTCTCAACTATATGATTGTTTGTTTATAGTATACTCAGGTCGGTTTGATCCGTACGGTACTCTGTATGTTGATTTTTTCGGACAATGTTTTTTTTCTTTTGCAGAATATTAATGTTCTTGTGTTTTTATTATAGTTTAGTTTTTTGTGAAAATTTTGGTTTGGAGTTATGAAAGTACGATGAAAAAGCACATTTTGACCTTTGTCATGTTATGAACCACATTGTTGAAGTTAAAATCCTTCTAAGAGGTAATAAGAAGCTAATAATTGTGGAAAGTGGAAGAATTGTTGCATTTGCCCATCAAAATAGACAGAAAACACGCCAGTAAATAAATGAAAGAAACTGATATGTAGAAACTGCAACTGCACCATTAGTATGTGTGCAAATTGTGCACTATATGCATCATTCTGGATAACAAAAGTATATTATCACGAACTAATCTTTTGTTCGTTACGTTGTAGATAACAACCTTTACCTTAGACACTGAAGCTGTAAGCCTGAAGAGAATTGGAAAATTACCAATCCGAAATACATTGTTAAATAGGCGAAATAAAGAGAAATGTTTTAATCTCGATCTCTGTTAATTGTGGATAATTAAGAAAGCTGTGATAAATATTACTAGTCTCATTATTGGAAGGAGAAACCTTTACTTATAACTTTTTATATTTTTAACTAGCTGTTACCCGCGACTTCGCCCGCGCGGATTTTGCAAGCAAACCCCGTTTATATTCAGTATTTCAACAACCATTGTAATTTTTTTTACTCTTTCCGCCCTGTGGGCACTAAGAGGACCTCTTAAGGCAGGCCCATTATGGGTTCGGCCAGGCTCACAATGGGCGACCGGGTGGTGAGGGACGGGGACCACACCCGAAAAATACCTGGGGATATCTTGACCCGTCCGGATTCGATCCCGGGTCCCCAGAGCGGTAGGCTGCCACCTTGACTGCTCGGCCATCCGGCCTTTAACTATAGTAATGGTTATATAACACCTACCGCTGAGAATAATGAGAATTGCTGAGAATCGAACGAACTATTTTCAATTTGATCAATTTTCTGGAACGTTTACAATCATTCTATAATCGAATCAATATGCAATAACAAATTCGAATTTAAAACGGTTCGAACATTTGGTTAAAAAATCGAAATACATAAAACTATTTATAACAATGTCTGAAATGTTATCAACTTAATACACCTAAGTACTCAATGAAGACTAAACGTAATTGAAAACAAAAAATCGCATCTAAAATAGTACAGTAGAAGCCATTCTTCCAATTAAGCCTTAATCCTCCCCCTTCTCCCGCGGGGGAATTTCCAAAAATTCCTTCTTAGTGTGCGTTTTCATGACGTACAGTACCCTGTGTACTAAATTTCACCTCTAGGTTCAGCGATCAGCCTCTGGGCGATGATGAATCACTCAGTCAGTCAGTCAGCTTAGGCTTTTAGGATAATAATTGTTATTCGGTGTAATAATTCAAATATTTAAAAAATGAAATGTATGTTATGCTGTAAATACAATATATTCTATAAGATAATACGGAATATATTGTATTTACAGCATAACATACATTTCATTTTTGAAAAATTTGAATTATCCTAAAAGCCTAAAAGATTGTTTTATCATCAAATTCATATTAATTTCATAATTTTCGAAACTTTTGCCAATATTTTTAAATATATAAATATTGAAGTTAATTTACTGCATTTATCCTTCAACTATACATTCATTTATCTTTCTTTAACAATTGATTTTTATTGCATCTTCGATAATCAAAATAATGGGTTGTCCATAAATCACGTAACGCAGATGTGGGTGGATGAGTATGCAGG